CAATACCTTTTGTGAATAGTCTTCTGTTGGAGTGCTTAGGAGGTATGTCTTTTCTCCAGCTAACCGAGTGCAAGCTCCTTCCAAGCAGGGACTGAGTTTCTTGCTTTTCTATTTAAATATAGGTCTCTACTTAATGCTTCGAAGCGGCTTACAATATAACCTTTGCATAAACTTGAAATATGTTATTCTCCAAATAGCCTGGCTAGCATCTATCATATTATATATCCTCATAATTCTTTTTACTTATTAAATTTTAATGTCTTTTAAGTTTGCCGCTTTTCTTTGAATTCAAACTAATAACCGAATTTAAATATTCTTTAAATAACACAAAATTTATAGATCATGGCATCCTAAATAATTATTCAACTAGAGAAAAAAATATGGGCCAATATAATAAACGTTTGATATCAAGTCCATGTTACAGATCATGAAAGCAATTTTAACTTTATTCTTACTTTGAATTAAATCACCTGGAAAACTACAGATTCTTGAGTCCCATTCAGAATCTGCTTTGTGAGGTTAAGCAAAATTTATTTATAACAAAATATTTAAAATTACTTGGTGGTGTTTTTGATCCTGTTAGGCCCTAAAATAGAATTACAAAATAGTTCAGTTAAAAGACCTAATGGAATTTATATGGACAACCATGATTTAAAAAAAAAAAAAACTTCTGAAATCAAAATATCTGTAACAGTAATTAAAACTTCAGTTTATTATTTTTGACATTCCATTCCTGAGCATAACTAAAAGCCAGGAAGATGGAATTTGAAATCATGTGTTGCTCTTTCCAAATTCTGTCCTGTTTATTTTGCTGCTACCCAAATATAGCATGATATTAAGGATTAGATAAATAGCATATCAGGAAATACTTCCAAAAAGTTTTCATGAAGTAAAAAATGTAAAATTATTTTAAAAATGTATATTTGTTGTTGCTTTCACTGAAACCTGAACTAATTTTGTCATATTACATCATCATAACAACTGTCTGGCCTCATGACTAATTTATAAATTTTAAGAAAAAACTAGAAACATCATTTTTCATTTCAATATCTAGGATTAGGTCAATTGAAGCATGGAATCATAGTGAGTGAAAGAGTGAGCTCCTTTTAGTATTCCTTCCCTCATTCAACAATTCATGCATTGTGCATGGAGAACATCATAACGAAAACATACACACACACACATACAATCCCTAACCAAATGTAGCCAATGTAAGTCCCCAGTTCTGGTTCTAGCCTCTTCCCCATTGTTCAGCCATTCCAGAACATTCATTATTATGCATTTTTTCACAGGCCTTATTACTTTCCTTAATACTTGGTTACCACTGGATACCAATTACAATGCAAATAGGTTATTATAGACCAGGATAGATCAAAGGGTTGATCCACACATCTTAAAGAGGAAAGGCTGTAATGCCAAGTGACTCATTTAATAAGAGGGCTTACTCTTAAAAATATTTATTTGTTTAGTTCGTTCATGTCCATGCCCGTGGTTTCTAGAAATTCAGAAAAGTAAATTACTGGGAAAGAACAGTAACCATCTGATTCTGCAAAAGCCAGTTTGGAGTTTGTTTTCGGGAGTGAAGGTTAGATTGTGGGGCTCTGACTCAGAAGACCACTAAATGAGTGTAAAACTTCCTGGTGTGCCCTTCACAACACCTATGCCCTTTCCCTACCCTTGCTGTTTTTTTCCCCACCAACTGATTTCTGCCCTATACCCTACACAAGGCTTTTAGAGGGAAGATAACTTCTCAGCCCAGAGTGAATTCTAAAATCCTCACTGTGGCCAATGAGGCTTCCCAAAAGCATTTCCCTCTGAGAAGTCTCTGACTCCCTTCCCACTACTTTGCTCTATAGTGGCTGCCACTCCTAACCCTCTAATCTCCTTGCCCTTGGTGGAATTCATCAAATCCATGCCAGTCTCAGGGCCTCTACATTGCTGTGTCTTTGTCTGGAGGGTGTTTACTTAGCCCAGCTTTCTGCAGTACTCCCTGCTGCACTTCATGCAGGTTTCTGCTCAAAGGTCAGCCCAAGAAAGGCTTGCCTGATCACTCTCCAGAACAGGACAATAACAACTGGTGCTCTATCCGCCAGCCTGCTTTCTTTGTCTTCCTGGTGCCTTGCATACCTGTTTGTTTGCCATTTGTTTCCATCCCCCAGGATTTCAGTTCCAGCAAAGTGGAGACTATGCTTGGTTGGTTGACTGTCATTTCGTTCCTCAAATGCTACATTATCTAGAAATTCTTAACAAATGTTTTAACCTAATTAATATATATGAATGAGAGAATGTCAACTTACTCAATGTAGTAATGCATAATATTTTATTTTTTTATAAGATGTATTTATTTGAAACAGTTACAGAGAGGAAGAGGCAGAAGCAGAAAAAAAGAGGGAGAGAGAGAGATCTTCCAACAGCTAATTCACTCCCCAAATGTCCCCAGTGCTGGGGCTGAGCCAGGCAGAAGACAGGAGCCAGGAACTTCATCCGGGTCTCCCATGTGGGTGCAGGGTCACAAGGACTTGAGCGATTTCCGTTGCTTTCCCAGATGCATTAGCAGGGAGCTGGATTGAAGTGGAGCAGCCAGGACTCAAACTGGTGCCCATATGGTATGCCAGTGCTGCTTATGGCAGCTTTCCCACCATGCCACAGTGTCACCTTAATAGGTGGCTTTTAGAAATGTAAGTTCTCCAACACAGTGTCATGAGTGTGTGTATGTATGTGTCTGTGTAAGTATAGACCATAAGAAGTACTTATCCCTGAGCCTCTCTATCTGCTCCTCTCCCAAGTACATGTCCAGCACACACATCATGGATACACATACAACTTACCTTGCCAAAGAGATTGCTGTTACACACAATACATTTGGATATATTTAAATCATAGTTTCTTCCTGAATTTTGTAGTTTTGAAGTTAACAAGTCACTCTGGGTGAACTGATTTTGTAATGCGTTATCATGATGGTACCCGTTGACCATAATATTTGGATCCATGGATGATAAAGGTTCTCAATACTCCAGAAAGCCCCCAAACATCTATTGAGCATCCTTTGTGATGTATAACATTCCTCCAAGGTTACTGTAATCCTTTGGAGCATCAGCTGCAAGTATTTCCATCCCAGGCTTGCAGGCAGACTTTGTGTGCTGAGTTTTGTCAAAAGTCTGAAACTGTGTGAAAAGGCATGGCACATAGATGCTGCAAAAGAGCCGCAGGGCAAACCTCGGCCCTTCTGCCTGCATGGTAGTGTCATCTCTGGAAAGACGCCTGATATTCTAATCTTGGTTTCCTGTTCTGTGAATGGAGATTATACCCACTTGACAAAATTGTTGTTTATGCAAAACAACATATATGACGCACCATTTGCCAATAACTAAACAACCTAAATGGCACTAATTAGCAGAACGAAGCTTCGGTCCCTGTGAAGGCACTTAACTCAGTGCTAGAGGCACAGTAGCTGCCCAAGTGCAATTTGTTGGTTGCTCAAATCCATCCTGTCATACTCCTTGAAGATTTTACTACAATCATCATATTTGATAAATTGGGCATAGAAAAGAGCAAGTTATAATAAAGGTAACTTTGTGCTCAGGAATTCTAGATAATCATTTTAAAAATTGAAAATGACAGCTTATAAGTATCTAAAATAAAAGTAAATAAAACAAAAACCTGCACTAGAGGTAGAATGAGGCTTTGTACTCATTGTGAGCTTCGTGTTTCCAGATAACACTGCTAATCTTAGGAAGAGGTATGTTATAATCACAGCTAAAAGAATTATCATAGTACTTCTATTGAAAGAACTGTCAGGGAAGGTAAACAGCCCTCAAAGTGGGAAGGTACATACCTTTGAATTTTGCATACCAACAGACAGTATTATTACAGCTATTATTCTAAGCTATATTTTTGAACTATGTTTCTATATAGTAATATCCACATGCACATGCATATACCCACAAACTCATACCACTCTTCTCTCTACGGCAAAAACATGTCTACTCGGGAAATTGTGAAATCTGTGTCTCTTATTTGAATCTATATAAATGGTGGTCTGAGGAATCTGTAGAAGTAGAAAGTGAAAATATTGTCAGAAAAATATGTTGTGCCTCTGATTTACAGCTTCAACAGGTTTGACTTATGATTCTCTTTTAAATAATCACCAAAACTATTTTGTTCTTAAGGAATGCAAGCTTGAGCATTGTTTTGTCTGGAAAATTCAATCATGTAGAATTCAGACTTTCACACAGCATTCTGTTTTAGTAAAAAAGACTGTATAATTTGAAGATAAAATCCCAGGCCAGCCATTAACCAACTGAATGACATCTGGGTTTTTTATTTTTGCTCTTGTTTGTAAAGTGGTTTATAAAATGGATATAAAGAGAGCTACCAGGTGCCGGCGCCGCGGCTCACTAGGCTAATCCTCCGCCTAGTGGCGCCGGCACACTGGGTTCTAGTCCCGGTCGGGGCGCCGGATTCTGTCCCGGTTGCCCCTCTTCCAGGCCAGCTCTCTGCTGTGGCCAGGGAGTGCAGTGGAGGATGGCCCAGGTGCTTGGGCCCTGCACACCATGGGAGACCAGGAAAAGCACCTGGCTCCTGGCTCCTGCCATCGGATCAGCGCGGTGCGCCGGCCGCAGCGCGGCGGCCGCGGCGGCCATTGGAGGGTGAACCAACGGCAAAGGAAAGACCCTCCCCCCCGGCCCCCCCTCTCACTGTCCACTCTTGCCTGTTGACAAAAACAAAATACATAAAAGCAGAGAGAGAGCTACCAGGCAAGACTTATTATTACAGAGAACAACTGTGTCTATCCATTTATCTATTTTCAAATGCATTTTATCATATCCATTTTGTGCATTAATGTATATAAGAAGCACTGTATACCTAGTTTTAACAAATGTTTCTATATGACTGAAAATGTGATATTTTACACAACACACTTTGACTATTTCCTTGAATAGTGTAAGTACTATCATTTTCTAAATAAAAATATAATTGACTATTCTCTTCTATTATAGGCTTACGAAAAAATTGCTTACCTTCTCACAAATTTAGGTAAGTGTATTTTTCTTACTTTTCTCTCTAGTAAGAAGCCAATATACAGGTATATCAGTCTAGATTTCCTGTATATATTTTAGCATTTTAATGCCTTTGATTATATAATTATATATTATAAAATCAGAGAGGTCATGTAGAGGTTGATCTATACTGAACAACAATTGAGATGTAATTCATGTGGTTTCAAAACATCCAGTATTAGAAATAAGTAAAATGTGATTCTCATTACTTGGAATTCCTATTTTTCCAACTTTTCAGCTCTTTTGGCTATTTCCTCAATGTATTTTATGAAAATAGTATTAAATGTACACGTAATTTGAAAAGACGAAACACTGTTAAGAGATTTCTAATAAAAATCTGTCTTTTGTCACCTTACCCAGTTCTGTTTTCTATACCCTAGAGGCAGCTACTTTTTAATATTTTGTAAATTTATTGTTATTTCCCAACCTATTTCTAATCATGTGCTTCTATTCCCATTATTGAATTTTACCTGTGGTAATCTATTTCCTTCTGATTATAAAAGCATTAGTTTAAGGACTTATCACCTAATATCCCCTGCAGTACCTTATCCTGCATATGGCCCCATTCCTCACTGGATACACACAAACTTCATTTCTCCTCTTTCTGAAGTGTCAGCATTTTTAGCCAAATTAATATTTAATGTTCACATCATTGTGTCCATGTAAGATTTTCCTATCTAAAGTGTGATATGTACTCTGATATGTTTTAGTATCATGCCATTCAAGGCATTACTGATTTTTTTCTTGCTATGTGATTTATATCCTTTCCTTAATTTATCCCACACCTTTTTCCAAAATGCTCTGTTTTCTTTGAATCTATTAAAACATGTCAGATGTTCTAGACTTGTGGTGACTTCCTGGAGTTAACTTCTTGAGCCCTATATCTACTTCAGTCTACATGGGGTGCCTTCTATGCTTGTGGCCACCTGCATCCTGGCTGGCTTTTACCAAAATGTAGTAATGCCTCTCACCATTTTTCTCAGTTGGATGCTACTTCACCAGTGTTTTGTCTTCTATCTTGGCTTAATTCCTTATTTTTCTACCTGCATGTAAATTTCTTGGAACTTTGCATCTCTGAAAATATCTTTATTCTATTCTTAAGCTTGTTTTTAGTTTTCCTTGATATAAAATTCTAAGCTGGGGCTAGTTTTCCCTTTGATTTAAAAACTATTTTATCATCTAATTATTTAAAAATTTTAGTTAACATGTAACATTTGTACATTTTTATCAGATTGAGTGCAATTTTTCAACACATGTATGCAGCAAAAATTGATCAAACCAGGCAACTCCTGTTTCATTTCTTTATCTTTTCTTTGTATTTGGAACATAAACACCTCATTTCTTACAGTTCTTTAAGCAGGATATACTATATCATTGTGAAGTACAGCTACTCCACTGTGTCTTGGAACATTATAACTTTGTAGGATTAACAAGTTCCTTTGAATTTTAGAAGGAACTTCTTACTTTTCTAGATACCAGCATCATGATTGAGAACCTGCTAAAACTGATCCCCAGCTCCTTGCCTGTGACCTGCTTTGATTTTTCATTTATTTCCTCAGTATTTCACACTGATGTACTTTGATCAGAGCTTTAATCATTCTTTATGCTAGATACTGAGTGCATCCTATCAGTTTGTGTATCTGTTGTGTCCCCCAGGAAGCAGACACTCAAATGGAGGTAGGCACGCAAGAGTTTTATTAGGAAATAACTTGAAAAAACATAAGTAGTAAGAGCAGGATAGGGTAGGGAGAGCTTTACACAGCAACACAGAGCTGGTGGTTTTAACTAACCCAGTGGGGAACTCGAGGGAGAACATTTCAAAGATTTAGAGGAACATAACCTTGGTTCTAATTGCCAAAGTCCCAGTATCCCTGTCCTTGCTGAATTACTGGTTCATTGCTGCCTGGCAAGCGTGAGGTCTTGGTCTGAAAGCTGGTCTAGCCCAACAGTGAAAACAGCTGGGGGCTGTTAAGTAACTGCACACTGTGCTTTGGAACAGCAGCTTCGGCAGGAGGAGAAATCCTAGTGGCACACCTCCTTAACTGCCACAACCTGGAAAGTCGGAAACTTCACTTCTGGGAAATTTGATATATTGTTTGTTTGATAGTTTCCTTCCCTCCTCCCTTTTCTTTCTTTCTGGAGCTCTTTATAGTCAGATGTTTCTTGACACATCCTTTAATATTGTTTCTTTTCCTTTCTCATTTACTACTATTTTTCTCAGAGTTTTTGTTTGTTTTGTTTTGTTTTTTTGACAGACAGAGTTAGACGGTGAGAGAGAGAGGCAGAGAGAAAGGTCTTCCTTCCATTGGTTTACCCCCTAAGTGGCCACTACGGCTGGAACTACGACGATCTGAAGCCAGGAGCCAGGAGCCTCCTCCTGGTCTCCCATGCAGGTGCAGAGGCCCAAGCACTTGGGCCATCCTCCACTGCCTTCCCGGTCCACAGCAGAGAGCTAGACTGGAAAAGGAGCAACCAGGACTAGAACCCGACGCCCATATGGGACGCTGGCGCCACAGGAGGAGGATTAACCAAGTGAGCCACGGTGCAGGCCCTATCTCAGAGTTTTTTTCAAGACGATGTCACCTTTATCTTCCCAGTCTTCTCTTGAATGTTTTGTATCTGCTCATATTTTACACTTCCTAGAATATGAAATACTTTCCGTCCTCTTAGTAGCCCTCTCCTATGTCATCTTGTTCTTTTTAACAGATCCATGTTTCATGGAGGAAATATCATGTAACTGTTAATAATATAGAATATGGAGTGAGAATGCATGGGCTTAAAACTTCTCTGTGATTTATGATAAGTGATTATATAATCATGATCAATTTATTTAGTCTCTTCTTGCCTCATGTTCCTTATCAAAAGATAAAGATAGCATTTTCTATAAATATTGCATACCTAGTGTTATTTTGGAGTGACTGACACCCAGTTACTATCAAAAACATTCTTGCTACTAACCTCTGCTTTCTCTTTGAGGATAAATACTATGGGGGTTGGAGGACTTTTTTTCCTAATTTTTTTTTTTATTTTTCTTTTGGTTTTTAAGTAGTTTCTCTATGTTTCCAAGCTTCTCTTAAGTAAAAACTTTATGCTCAACAGATTAACAAATATTATTTTCAAACACTTGGTACATTGTCAAAACTTATCCATACAGTTTGGCCACCAACAAAATTGCACCTTTTTGCCCTAAAGCTGAAATCTTACAGGATACATTTGTAAATCATGCTGCATTAAATATAGAAATGGGAAACAACTAGAAGAAGTTTTAAAATACCATTTCTTTTTTAAATAAAAATTTGTGTTAAAGGATCAAATCACAAGCTAGAAGGAAATGACAGTGAGAGCACACATAACAAAATATGTGGGGTTATGTTCTTACCAAATGTTCTTGCTGACTCACAACAATAGTCATTCTTTTGGATGCCCTACAGACCCCTCCCAGTTATAAATGCCATTCCCAATGACCTAGTCCCTCTTCCTTCCATGTGACTGTGCTCATGTATTCTTTTGGTCTATATTTTGGTGAAATCAGATCGCATCTTTTTTTTAATATGTCTTGAATTTTTCAACTACATCAAAATATCAGAGGGACTTCTTTTTAAAATCATTTATTTGGATACTGAGCTGAAACTGCAGTACATGCTGCCAATTTGATCCAATCTCTCTCATCTTTTTTTTCCTTTGCATCATGGAAACATCAGACATGAGTTGACAGCATTCTTGGATATTATCTTATCTAAATCCCTCATTGCACAAATGGCAAAAATGTATTACAAAAATGTGAAGAGGTCTGCCTTTGATTTTTTGCAATAGGGTATAAGAATGAGACAAGAACTCAGCTCTTCTGATGGAAGCACCCCTCTTTTCTTTGACCATTCTGCTTCATACTACACACAAAATATTCATTCTTCAAAGAACTCTGTGGACAATTTAGGTCTGTGTATTGTATATAAGTGTGTTTGAGTTGGTAACAGATTTATCCAATACTTATGGTTACTTCTACAGAAAATAGTAAATGTACTCTTGACAATGTTTTTATATTAATAACAGGGATTACAATTTTATAGCTAGTGGGAAAGCGTGATGGTAATCTTATTGGGTCATTTCATCAAATTTTTACAGCAGATATTATCATTCACACTTTGCAGACACAGGCATTAAAACTCAGAAACACCAAGTACATCATTGAATTAGGGTAGTACTAAACCAAAACTTGACCATGAGGCTTCTTCTGATTCCATGTCCACAGTTTTGGTCACTCATCTACAGAAATGCAATTTATATTCTTTTTAGAATATCCTCGAACAGAATCTGAATGGGAAAACAGCTTTGCCCTGAAGATGTTCCTCTTCCAGTTTGTCAATTTAAACAGTTCTATCTTCTATATTGCTTTCTTTTTGGGGAGGTAAGTCACCTTTATACGTTATCTTTGTGCACACACAGGGTCATCAGTTTCATTGTCCATTAATTAACAGAACTGGTAAATTCTTGTCTTCTACTTTGTAAATCTGTTAATCAGTCTTCACATGTATTCTCATTCAAATTACTTCTGATAGTCAAAACCAATTAATGTTGGCAAAAAGGAACCCTATTTGCCATATTTAAGTTGAATTAGAACCATCTGTTAATCAGTAATGACTTCGTTAAAGAAGAAAATAATTTTTTGTGTAACCTGGGGTACAATTTTTTGTTTTCAAAGTTTGCTGTAAAATAGAAAAAGAGGCATATTAATTTAATATTTATAGTTTACATTCACTTAACACTCTACCCAGTGCCATGGAAACATTCAGAAGCTAGAAAGATTTCAGTCCAAACAACTCAGCAAATTCTTGTAATATTCATTGATTGGATGGGCAAGACATTAAAACTCTGCATGTGAAAATGGAAAAAGTCATTTGGTTATTTTGAACTTTCTCAACCCATTGGTATTGAGTTCTTTGAATCATTTTATTTTTTTTAAGTCAAGCACTTTGATGTTGTCTAAACATAGCAAAAGTGAATTGTTTGGGGACAAATTGCACCAATGACCGTTTATATCTACCCACACATGCACTCTCTGTGATGTGTTAGTACATGTTCTTCAGTAATCTCCAGTTAACTGCTAATTATCTAAAATGCCTTTTCACAGATTTGTAGGCCACCCAGGAAAATACAACAAACTTTTTAACCGGTGGAGACTGGAGGAAGTAAGTAACCCTGTGAGGGTGGGTGAGAGGATGGACTTGGGCCACTCACCGTGGGAGTAAAGGGCCTTGGGAGAGAAGCTGAAGTTCAGGGAAGTCCAGGCAAGTTAAAGACATATTATTTTAGAGAAAAGTTGCCCTGAATTCAGAAAGGAAACAGTCACATATTTTCAAAATAGAGGGTGAGCTGAAAGTTAAACTCCAAAATTCTGACCTCATGTCTTTTTATTCTATCACATCCATTTCTTCTATTCACAAACCCCAGGAATTTAACTACAGTAATTCTGCTCATTTGGGATATTGGTATTATCTATTGCATGGGCTTTCATACTTTTAAGCATGTTAGGCTTCTTATTAGGCAACGGAATTTTAGTTCAAAAGGAATCTTGCCTGAAACATAAATATATAGGTACATCTGACTAAGACTCTAAGTTTTTGATTGGTTTTGAATAAGTTTGTCACGTAAAAGAAATTCTAGGAGAAATATTGTCAGGTTACCGGGTAAACACATTGTATATTCTTACTGAGACTGAGTAGTTGTCCTTCAGAATTCCACTCCCTGCTTGTTGTGTATGATCATGCTTCTACTCAGTCTTTTGCCAACAGAAAAATTTTAATTTTAACCAATAAAATCGTCAAAAAGATTTTTCTTTTTATTTTGGTATCTTTAATTATGAATGAGATGAGGAATATTTTATATGATGTTTGGATATTTTGTATTTATATGTATGGATAGTACTTCAACCCATTTTCTTTAGATTGGTTTCTTACTAATTTATAAACTAATAAAATTAGGCTCTAGTATTTCAAATTTGCTGAAGATATTTTCCAGTTTTTCTGTATCCTTTAAAATTATGTATTCATTTTTAATGTATTTGAGAGATATAGAGACACAGAGTGTGAGAGATGCTGGGCAAGGGGGAGAGACAAAGAACACTCCCATCCACTGATTCACTTCCCAAATGCCGCTTGCGGGTGGAACAGGTAAAGTCAAGAGCCAGGAGCTAAATCCAGGTCCCTGATGTGAGTGACAGGAACCCAGGTATTTGAGCCATCACTTGCTGCCTTCCAGAGTGAGCATTAGAAGGAAAAGGAAATCAGAACCAGAGATGGAACTAGAACCCCAGCACTCTGGTATGTTTTGCAAGAGTCCCAATGGACAGTTTAATCACTATGCCAAACACTTTCCCCATTGTTCTTTATGTTTTAATTTTATTTTGATATTTTTTACAAAACTGTATAGAACTTTCTTTAATGGATTTTGCAATTTGCATCATGCTAAAATATTTTTCCAATACTTAGATATGTTTGACCATTAAGCATCTATTTTCTTGTAAAGAGTAGTTAAGCATTTTCTCCTCATCTGGAAGCCACATTTTAATAAAAATACATTATTTGCTTTCAGCAAAATGAGATTCTAGATTTTTAATATCACAACTTACAATTGTGTCTATTTATAAGCTCTGCTCTATATCATTGGTCAGAATGTCTGTTACTTCTATAGTTCAAAATTATTTTAGCTATTCTAATATATAAGCCAGTTGAACATAAGTTGGTGTTAGTAGAAGTCATAATATGAAGAGTCTAAGAAAATACTCCTCAAAAACTGAGGAAACTGAGGGTGGAGGTATTTCTAGTCTTTATTTAAAAGGTTCCTCCAGTCTCAAGATAGAGGGAGCCTTCATTTATGTTATCCCAGAGCATTCTAGAAATTGATTGGAATATATGAATAAAACCTAGAGCTTCCTAAGAACTTATGTTTTATCATTGCAAACCTGACAATTCTTTGCCATGATTCAGCCTCTCTGAATAGCCATTTCCTCATCCTAAATTGTCAGTAGTACTATTTAAATTGCAAAGTTGCTTACAGATAAGAGGTAATTTACATAACAAAAAATACTATAAATTATTTCAGTAAAAATTCTATAAACTATTACTGATCTTTATCCATGCTCTTTCTCCACTGCTATCTGGGTACTAATATTCTTTTGGCCAAAGACACACTCAGGCCTTTCTTATTCCCAGGACGGCCTGGATTCCCCAGATTCAACTTTCTTTCATGACCCAGAATGATGACTAAAGTACTGATCACCTCCCTTTTGGGGGATCCAACTTACTTTTTGCTCTGAGTGTTCGGCTGGAGTTAGCAAGAGTAAAGTGGAGAATAGAGCACTTACAGCCACATAGATCTGCATTTTGATGGTGCTTTTGTGGCTTTTGTCACCAGTGATTTTGTTTAATTTAATATTTTGATTCTTAATTATGAAAGTATTAGAAATCTTGATTTCTCTTGGAAAATTCAGGGAAAATAAGAATAGTAATTGTGTCAGGTAAATGTTACAGGGCAATCCTAAACATTTGTCACAAAATATATGATATGTGGTAGCCATTTCCAACAAATGATTACTTATTTTGAAAAAGGAATCAATTAAATTAACTATTCGGTAGTGATATACCTTAGAAATATTAGAAGTGTGCATATAAAAGGTATACATATTAGAATATTAGAATTGACCCTCTGCTGAACATTATAAAGTGTACAAATAAAGAAGTCCCTTTCTCTTCTTTGAGTATGTTAATGCTTTGAAGACAGGACATAACCATGAAAATTACACATTTTTTTCTTGGATTCTTATAGTCTACATTCTAATCGTGTCCCATCCAGATGCATGATCGTAATATCTATAAGCTTCAACTCCTGCTTTTGTAAACTTATAATAAGATTAAATTGGATTGCACATGTAAAATACCAGGCAAAATTAATGATAACCATTATAAAGCAAGAAAAGCGTGCCAAAATTTGATTTAGAACATTTAGGAGCTGTCTATACTGTACTTGTGAATCCCATACAATAGCTATGCTATATTTTACATTAATATCTTATGTAAATTCAATATTAAAGTTTTTAATAATAACTTGCATTTATTGAATGCTTTTAATGCATGCTACCATGTTCCAACAATTGTTACTAAGTGATCTACATATAGTCATTAAAATTAATCCTCACAGCAATTCTATTATTTTATCTGTTTTATGCATGTGGAAACAAAAGCACAGAAAAGTTGTATAAAAAGCATAGAAAAGTTGTATAAAAAGCATTGAAAAGTTGCATAACTTGCTTAATATTACACAAAGGTACTTACAAATTAAAGGAGTTATTTAATCTAAGCAGTGTAGTTTTAGCATCTGTGAACACTGTAGGTTCTACTATCCAATGGGATAGTTTGTAGGCACAAGAGAGAACATAGAAGACATTTATTTTGCTAGGTAATGATGATGGTGGTAGTGATTATTATTATTTTGCTAAGATTACTTGTGAGAAAAAAGTGGACAAGTATATGAAATCCCCTAACCTTGGCTTGGCCGTTATCATTTTGATAACGATATGATTTTGTGTGGTATAGTTGGAATGGATACCTTGGTCTAATGCATAGTCATTCATGCTCTTTTACACAGTCTAAATATGAGCACCTTTTACCAGATGAATTGTAAAGTATTGAGTTAGGGGCTTTAGCTCAAAGCTATCATTACATGAATGTAGTAGACTTTCATAAATAATTGGTTGCTTTTTTCATTCTTATAAATCACAAATTCATCAAGGCTGAGTTTCCACGAAATTATAAAAGGACTGTCTTCCAGCCTCCACTTTTAGCCTATTCTTTATGTGCTCAATCACTTGGGCATCTGATTTTCCTTTTTTTCTCCCAGTCTATATAAAAATATGCTTGTGCTAAACCCATATTTCAAGGCAACAAACACATTTGGTGAACAGAATTCACCTTTAGCATGGTGAAAAGAGCAGTGGATCAGGAAGCAGGAAACCAGGGATTTCTTCCCCATAGCACCAGCCAACCTTAAATGACCTTGGAGAAGATAATTTGCTTCTAAGTCTCCCTACAAAAATGAAGAGCTTCAGTTTGCTGCTGTGATCTATGACCTGCCCCTGTGGCTTAATAATTATTCTACTTCAGACAGTCTATGAAACCCATTTATCACATATATCTGGAAGAGTTCAGGGGACCCTAAATTCAAAGTTCTGGGCACTGTAGAAGAAAGAGACATGCTTCGATGGAAGAAGTTAACTTCTCCACACAAGAAGTATGACCACTGGCAAGCTTACCTTCTGGCTCAGATTGGAGAATGTTAAATTACTGGCTTGGAACAAAAAAAGCAGGTTCTTTGTGTCCCAGTTATTTTTCCCTTTTTGAAGTCCCACTAGTACTGATTTGATAAAAATAGAAACTGTGAAATCAAAGCCACAGAGACTAGCATCCCTATGAGCAGGACATGATCCCCCCCCCCCATTTTTAAAGAATCAGACTTGTTTATCTACCCAAAGATCTTCTGAAATGTTTGGGCGCAATTTTCATTGAAATTCTATTTTGTTGGTATTGATTTCTAATACCAACTAAATGAAAATCCACAAAAGCACAAGAGCACAGAGCAGGGAACACTGGGATCATACTGACAAACATCTTGATGTACATATTTATCACTTAAAAATACATTATAGGGAGAGGTATTTGGCACAGTGGTTAGAACTCTGCTTGGAATTCACATGTTCCATGTCACAGCACCTTGTTTTGAGTGCCAGTTCTGCTCCCAATTCCAGTTCCCCGCTGATGTGCACCCTGGAAGGCTCAAGCTCTTGAGTCACTGACACAAGTGTGGGAGACCAGATTGAGTTCTAGGTTCTCAGCTTTGTCCTGGCCTACTCTCAGCTGTTACAGGCATTTTTACAGTGAATCAGTGGATGGAAAATCTGTTTTCTTCCCTCTCCCTTCCTCCATGACTTTCTGTGTCTCTTCTTTTCAAATAAAAATAGATAAAAGTTGACAATATTTTAAAAGGCATTTAAAAAAGTGTATTATAAGTATACATGGAAAACTTTATGGGTAATAGATTTAAAAAATAAGTTTACTTTGTTGCAAAAATAGTCTTGAAATCCATTCATAGTTTTTTTCATAATACATATTTTTACATGAACTTTGTGAAGGTCCTTATTTATATAGATTGTCTCTCTCCAGGTAAAGTTTAATACTTGACCTCCATCTTGAAAGTAGGTTAACCTTATTAGTTAACTTCTAAGAGCAGAAGATAGAACAAACTGAATAAGTTCTCAGGGAAAATATCTGAAACATACTACTTCACCCACTTGATGAAGGTGAACATTACCAATGATATCATGTGGCTATCGTGCAGCTCTGAGACTTGTGATGAAATTGACACTTCCACTTCTGTGGGATCCACCTCAGAATACATAATACCAGTCTCAACACAAGAAAACCATAAGACAAATCCTGTTAGGGAAGTTCATAGAAAACCCATCTAGTAATCCTTTAAACTGCACAACTTATAAAAAATTGCCCAGACCAAAAGAGGCTTGGGAGGCATAAAAAACCAATGCAATGAAGTAGGTATATTGGTTTGTAAAGGAGCATAGAACAAAACAAAACAAAACAAAAAAAAACAAAAAATTAGAATAAAATAAAACAACAAATAAACAATGGATAAAATCTGAATAGAATCTAGTGTAGTTCAGTGCAACCTGATAATGTCAGTTTCGTAGCTTTGACAAATACATCAGGGTATACAAGAAGCAGCAGAGATAATTGATTGAGGAGTATATGTAAACTGTACTATTTTTGCTTGGCTTTTGTGAATCTAAAATTGAAATTAAAAAATCTTATTTAAAATAATATAATAATGTAAACATTATGCCACAGACATGATTTACATTTCTTCTACCTGAATGTTAATAGCTAAATAAGGGTACTTTAAAAATTCAAAAAGCAATTAAAAATAAGCCTATTTTGGTACAAAAAAATTTGAAATCCATCCATATGTTTTTCATAATGCTCATTTTCCATAAACCTTTCTGAAGCTGCCTCGTGTTGCTTTGATAGCATTATTTAAATGTGATCTCACCCAACTCAAAGCTTGGTAGAGTTGTTCAATAAAGTCTAGCTTTGTCATTAATTTTGATCAGTAATACCTAGTAATTACTGAAAAAATTTCTGTTAACTATCTTCAATCATGCTGTTCCTTCCTTGTTTGTATTTTATTTACTATGCATCTGATAGTGTGACTTGAATTTAGAATTCCATGTATAATTTACAGGTGGGATATTTGAGCCATCTGGAAAGAGGAAGATCATTGTCATATTCTTATGATTCTTTTCCAGTGTCATCCTAGTGGCTGTTTGATAGACCTCTGCCTCCAGATGGGTGTTATTATGTTTTTGAAACAAATATGGAACAACTTCATGGAACTGGGATACCCGTGAGCATATTAATTGTTTTTTAAAGATTTATTTATTTATGTGAAAGTCAGTTACACAGAGGGAGAGACAGAATGAGGTGGATAGAGGTAGAAAGAGATCTTCCATTAGCTGATTTACTATCCAGATGGCTTTAATAGCTGGAGATGGGTCAGGCCTTAGCCAGAAGCCAGGAGTTTCATCTGGGTCTGGATAACAGGGGCCCAAACACTTGGGCCATCTTCTGCTGTTTTTCCCAGAACAGTAGCAGAGAGCTGGATTGGAAGTGGAGCCATTTCTACTCAAACTAGCACCCGCATGGGATGCTGGTGTCACAGGTGGCAGCCACAACACCAGCCCAGAGCATGTCACTTTTTCACTTTCATTACATATATATTGCTATAAAGAAGAAAGAAGTAGCATGAGTAGTGTCTAAGAAATTGGGTGTGGTCATCAGACGGATAAGGGTTCATTTCCCACTCTTCCCCTTAGTGAGTTTGTGACCATGTGGAAGTTAATGAACCCTTTGAGCCTCAGGTTCACATCTTTAAGAAGGGAGCAACATTCATGTCCATCTCAAGAACAGTTGGAAAGGTTAAAGAGAATAATGGATGTACAGTTACTTGCTAAATTATTTAAGACACTTCTTGCTCTTTTAAAATTGTAAACTATTTTTTAAAATTTGAGATACATAAAAATAAGAGAGAGTGAGCACATACACTCTTGTCCACTGATTTACTCCCTAAATACCCACAATAGATGGAGTTGGGCCAGGCTGAAGCCAGGACCAGGAACTCCATCCAAAATTTGCTCATGGATGGCAGGAACCCAATTGCTTAAGCCATCACTGCTACCTCCCAAGGAGTACATTAGTAGGAACCTAAATCAGACTTCAAACCGAGACAGTCCAATATGAGATATGGATATCCCAAGAGGTGGCCTATAGACCTAACACCCACCCCTGTTTTTAAAATATTATTGACAATATAAGTTCTTAAGAACAAAAATAATTTTCTGGTTTATTTTGGCTTTCATCAGAATAGAATTGTTATTAAATAAGGAGAGCCTTTACCCCTCCCAAAATAATAAAACAAAGATAAAATCCTGGATGGGAGGTTTTGTACTCTGTTACAGATACCAGAAAAGAAAGAAATCATTAGAACAGTATTCACAATGATAATATCAAATAATAATTCTATTTTTGCCCTTTTGGATGAAATTAACCTGACAGAAGAAATTTAACCTGCTAACAGAGATGCTTATTGTCCATGTTTACATCTATTTAAATATACTTTCTTTCAAATTCCAGGGTATTTGAAACAATTTAGTACTAAAATTTCGGAACCTAATAATAAAAGTTTACAAATATAACTATTTTGAGTAATTTCCTGACTATGGGAGCAGACTGGTTAGTTGATTGATGACATATATAGATCAGGCTTAGTAACCAAGTGGTAGTGATTTTGTATTTCTTTGTTGGCCTCCAAATTTTGTTAGAACATTCCTGGCCAGAGACATGTGGGTTTCAGAAATGATATTGTCTCTGGGATTTTCCACAAAGTATTTTGTTAAATTCTGGCAGTCTTAGGGCATGGATTATGGAATCATCCAGATCTAGCTGGTTCAAATTCTTCTCAGTTCCTTGCTAATTTAGCTTAAAATTTATCTGAGACTGTTTTTTTTTATTTTAAAGATAGATTTTTTTATTTATGAAAATGAAGTGAGCTAACCCAATGGATTTTATACGTTCACCACAAATAACAGCAGCTTTTAGAAAAGAGGTTACTATACAAGTCCTCGGTTTTCAAAAGAGATTTAGGTAAATCTTCTAAATGAAGAGAACTGACAGTAGAGGATTTGGAAGCTCATTCCATTTTATCCGTGACTCATCTCTTTTGAAACAGGATTTGTGAAACATTGTTTGAAGGTGCTTGAGGAAATTAGGGGTCTGACATGCTGTGAGTACTTCACAAGGTGGTATAGTACTCACTTTAGTATGAAGAATGATTCCTTTTTTGATATCATTGTCAAGAGTTTGCTTTCAGACAGCACATTTTCCCCATAGCCTTGCCCAGATGGTCAGCCTGGATCTCATACAGCAAATTCTAAGAGCACTATGACAAGAGACATTCTGCCTGTGTTTTTCCAAAACCTGGGCAAAAGTTTTGTGGAAGAAAATTTAGATGGAGTGGATAGTTAGTAAAGCAGTGGTTTTCAAACTTTTCATAGTCTCACTCTTCAAATGAAACTTTAAACAGAACCAAAATAAATAAAAAAGAAACAACTTCAACCCTTTTTCATCATTGCCAGGCTCTTGTAGGAAACTTCTGTGGGACACACTGCAGACAAGTTTTCTTAAATAATTCATTACCCAGAAGTCTTTGATATTTGTATGCCAGAATATTTCTGAATCACATAATCTCAAAGTAGTTTCTGGATGGAGAAAGTGCTAGTATTCCCTTTCCAGGTCTGAAAATAGATTCATAGAGACAAATCCATTGTCTAACATTAATTCTTAATTGCAGGAGCAGAATAGAATCATTAATGGTCAAATGCCTCATGTATATAAACTCAGAGAGATGAAGTGGCTTGTAAAAGTCACACAGCCAGTGCTTTGCAGCGGGGGGAGAGACTAGACACGAGATCTGTTAAAACCCTACCTGTAGCTTGCCGTGATCATCTAGTGGTTATTACTCTGATGTGGTTGCAGCAACCTCGGTTTTAAAATCCTACCTAGGATTCAGTTGTTTTATGTGGAATATGATTTTATTCATGGTCAGAGGGCACAACCCAGAAGATTTTGGGTTACAAGCAATAAAGATCTCAGATCCAATCACAACACACCGGAGTCTAAGTATTTATATAGGCAGGCGTTGAAGAAGGAATCTTAGAAAACAATATTTGATCAATATCAAGGAGCATCTTAGTGTATGGGGGATGAATTCCTATATAAATATTCAAGTGTTTATAAACTCTAGAAGAGGTCAGGAAGGCTGGGGATTATTCTCCCATGCTAAACTTTTTAAAAGGCTTTTAAAAAGTATTTTAAACTTTTCCAGAACATTTCTTACTTTCAGATTTTTAAAAACTTTTTTTAAAGTTGGGACCTACAAATCTCCAATTTTCAGGAATGGCTAGTGTAGTCCAAGATTAGTTGTGTTTCTCATGTCTTAATACACAATTTATTGTGTACCACATGCTTAAATAGGAGCTCAAAAACTGGTGGTCTGCCTTGTGATGTAGGTTGATTCAGAACTGGTGGTCACGCCTTAAAATCAAGCGGGGAATGCAAGACACTTCCATACCTCAGTGGGAAAATGACTGGAATCTGCAGCCTATGAACATTCATGGCCTGATGGATGAGTACTTAGAAATGGGTAAGGAAAGAACTTCTGTAGAACTGTTCAGCTTCCTTGATATTGTATTTCTACTTCTCATGGGCTTTAGTTCAAGACAGAAAGCCATCTATTTGCTTTTCAACCCCACATATTCTAAAACATATCTAAAAGACAATTATATGTTTTCCCTGATCTGGGATAACTAACAGAGTACCTAAAATGTAGTATATTGGAGTGAAATGGACATTTTGAGAATTGATGATTGCTTACAGTCCTTGTCTCTACTATTGAAGAACAGTGTTTTTCCTTCATACTATTTGTTGAACTCTATATTTAAACTTATGGGTATAAAGTAAACTGAAAATAGATCTTTGTAAAAATGAAGAGTGGGGATAAGAGAGAGAAGAGGAAGAAGAATTGTAGCATGGGCAGGAGGGAGGGTAGAGTGGGACATATCACTATGTTCCTATGTTCCTAAATCTGTGTATGTGAAATACATGAACCTTATACACCTTAAATAAAATTAAAAAAAAAAAAAAAGCATCTGCAGCTTTATCTCAGTGTGCTAGAGGTATGAAGCAGTACCCTTGGAAGACACACATTTTTTATCCCCTGAAAGCCATACATTTGACTTGAATGTTTTTCTCACAGAGGAGCACCTAGCTTTTGAGCAAATATTTTGAAGAGAAAAATGGAGCCATACCAATTTCTTGTTTAGGAGACATACCATCCCACCCAATAAAGCCATAATTGTTTTTCACAATAAACCTTTGCTCAGACCAAGTCTGTCTTAGTATCTTTGAGAATCTTATTTATATTAAGAACATAAAAAAATTCCATTCTGTTAGAATCACGGGGTATGGCCTTGACATTTACTTTTCTCTGACCCTCAGTTTTCTTGTCTATAGAGAGAGGGCAAGATTACTACAGGTCCTTAGGGCCCCTTCCAGAACCAACCATTTTCCTTTCAAGATCATCTCCTCTTTGCTGTCTTCCTCCTCTTCCAGCCCTCCTCCTCCTCCTCTTCTTCTTCCCCTTTTCCTTTTTCTCTTCTTTCTTCTCCACTTTTCTCTTTTTCCTCCACCCCCTACCCCTTTGCCACTCTTTCTCTTTGATCTTTTTCTTACTTCCTCTTCCATCATGCTTCACTACAGAGAGATGAAAACCACACAGACTTTAAATTCATTCAAATCTGAATCTGAATGCAAGCTTGAATAGTTTTCTAGTTGGCTATCATTTACAAAACTTGTATAACAGTCACATAGTTGTATGAGCTAAAGTTTTTTCAACAGTTAAGTGAGATAAGCCTGTTGATTTTATAGAGATGTTGAAATCATTAAACGCAATTTATATAAAGTGCTGATTTGTCCAAAGGAGACGGTCAGTAATGATATGGTGTATATCATTAAATTTCTAATGCTGTCCTTTTACAGTTTTGCAATTTGGCTTTACCACCATCTTTGTTGCTGCGTTTCCTTTGGCACCTCTTTTGGCTTTGTTAAACAACATCATTGAAATCAGGCTGGATGCATACAAATTTGTCACCCAGTGGCGGAGGCCTCTACCAGCTCGAGCAACTGACATAGGTAAGAACTAGAAAATAAATGTTTTTCATGAATTATTTGAAGACTCCTTGTGTGCATTGATTTCTAATTTTTTTCTTATCTTTTCACTTCATTTTCCATGAACTTGCAAATGTACCCTCCTATTTTGTTATAGTAGGACAAAAGTCAAAGTCAACATGGCCTGATCTTAGGAGAGCATGAGTTCCTATTTTGAGTACTCCCTTTCAACCATCACAAAATCTAAATTTTAGTTAGCAAAGGAATTAAATGAATACTAACTTAGTTGAGAGGAGATTCATTTCAGGTATGCTGTTTCAAATACTTATTCATAACTTAAAAGGATTTTATATATGCCTTCACATATAAATAAACACAGTTCTATAGCAGTGCTAAGATTGCTTTAGTGGTTTTTACTATTTATTTTTTACTTTTTAGGTATTTAGTTTTTACTATTTCAAGCAACATTGAGGTGAACAGCTTTATGTGTTCTTTGTCTAATAATTTCTTCATGATAAATTCCTAGAATGGAACTTCTGTTCTAAGAATATGTACATTTAAATTTTTGATACATAATTTGGCGACATGTCCTCCAGAAATGAGCCAATTTACTCTCTCATCTTAAGCACATTAGTATAATTTTCCCATTCCCTCAGCAATACTAGATGTAGTACAAATTTCCTTCTGCTACTGTTCCATCCTTGATGATCTAAAGAGGCTAAATACATATCTTACCTTATTACATTACTGGCATTTTTGTAACTATGATATTCAATATATTTTTATTTCTTTATGACTATTAGCAAATATATGTTTTAGGAATTATATATGATTTGGTAAACTCTGTGTCCAGACTGAAAATATTAACCTTTGACACATGAATATATTGCAAACATTTTTCAAATGCTAGTATTTAATTTATTCACTTGATCATGAATAAAGTTTTAAATTTTAAATATAACCGAGTTGATACAACTTCCTTTTGGTTATCATTTTTGACATTCTTAGAAAGGCCCTTGAAACTCATGATTTTATAAACCATTGTTTGCATTATTATTTTTAGATGTCTGTTACTCAGTTTCAGTTTGTTAGTTATTTTTTGTCATTTATGATTCTATTTGAATTTTGATTATTCTGGAATTTGGTATTGGTGAAATTGAAATTTGACCCCTTTCCCTCTAATATTCTGTTTTCCCAAAATTATTAATAACAAAAATTTCTTATTTTTGATTATCATTACTTCAGTAAAATTAAAAGTTTATTTTTGTTGTAATCAACTTTTTTTACAAAAGTCAGTGTCTTGTCTTATAACTTCCTCATCAAGTAAACTCAAATCTCCTTTCTTACTTGTTTATTTTTAATTGCAACTCATTGTAGCCACATTATCAAGATTTTCAAAAAAAACAAGGGCAGGAGGCAATAACCATGCTATTTAATCTCCAATAGCATTTTTGAATATTTTTCCACAGGATTATTTTCATATCTATAGTTTTAAAGCTAAATTTAATCTTATGTGAAACATCAGTTCTGACCATAATCAAAGTATGTTAATTCTCTTTTCAACTTCAAAAGCTTTTGCATGTGTCCATAAGATGCCAGATTGACCTTCTAAAAGTAGAAAATATCAACCGACAGTAATTTGCAGATCTCAACACAAACTTCAGTTTCCTGTTGGTAATTTTCCCTCAAAAAGATACTTAACAGAGAAAAAGAAAAAGATTGTAATGAATATAGATCTTTCAGACTGCACACAATCAAGAAGAACTGGACAATTTTGTTCATTGTTTTTATTGCTTCAGCAAGTTCTGTTCGTCAAGATTTGAAATATCTTTAACATCCGTGCCATGTCTCATCAGAACAGACACGAATGATATTTCAATTTAAAAATCTTTCTAAATGTGGTCTATTTTCCCTTGGTAGAAAAAGTATACATAATTGCTGTAATACTTGGAGTGGGATGCTATATTATACTATATTAAAGTGAATAGTGGTCATAGATACAATTCCAACCTATGTAAAATCTTTCCAAAATCTGATTGATTAGAGGGTTTTCTTTTCTTTCTTTTTTTTTTTTTTTTAAACTTCTTTAATCTTTCTCCCGACAGGTATCTGGCTTGGAATTCTTGAAGGAATTGGTATATTGGCTGTGATCACCAATGCATTTGTAATTGCCATTACGTCTGATTACATCCCACGTTTTGTCTATGAATACAAATATGGCCCCTGTGCACATCATGGAGTACAGAATGAAAAGTAAGGTTGAAATTTATGCATTTTCCTGGAATATTTTGCTTCGTAATTAAAATGGAAACGTATTGGGAAGTTTTGTTCTGTGATTATTAGAGGTAATGTTTCTGACCATTGCATTTATACTGTGTTTCTCAGATGGAATCAGTGAGGTAAAAAGAGAACAATGATTTTTAGAGTAAACCATTTTAGAACTTACCTTTTTTTATTTTCAAATGCATCACTGGTATCAAAAAATCTTAAAAATATTATAAAATATTTAGAAGTTGGATTCTAGAACTGGAAAAGACTTTAGAAAACACAGAGTTCAATATTCTTTTTTTTTTTTAACTTTTATTTAGTGACTATAAATTTCAAAAGTACAACTTATGGATTGCAATGGCTTCCCCCCATAACGTCCCTCCCAGCCGCAACCCTCCCCTTTCCCACTCCCTCTACCCTTCCATTCACATCAAGATTCATTTTCGATTCTCTTTATATAAGGAAGATCAGTTTAGCATACATTAAGTAAAGATTTCAACAGTTTGCTCCCACACAGAAACATAAAGTGAAAAATACTGTTTGAGTACTAGTTATAGCATTAAATCTCAATGTACAACACACTAAGGACAGAGATCCTACATGAGGAGTAAGTGCACAGTGACTCCTGCTGTTGATCTAACAAATTGACACTCTTATTTATGACGTTAGTGATCACCCTATGCTCTTGTCATGAGTTGCCAAGGCTATGGAAGCCCCCTGAGTTCACCGACTCTGATCATATTTAGACAAGGGAATCCACCACGTGGAAGTTCTCTCCTCCCTTCAGAGAAAGGTACCTCCTTCTTTGATGACCTGTACTTTCCACTGCACTGGGATCTCACTCGCAGAGATCTTTCATTTAGGTGTTTTTTGTTTTTTTTTTTTTTTTTTTTTTTTTTTTTTTTTTTTTTTTGCCAGAGTGTCTTGGCTTTCCATGCCTGAAATACTCTCATGGGCTTTTCAGCCAGATCCGCATGCCTTAAGGGCTGATTCTGAGGCCAGAGTGCTGTTCAGGACATCTGCCATTCTATGGGTCTGCTGTGTATCTCACTTCCCACGTTCAATATTCTTATGCAGAACTGGGGGAGTTGAAAGCCATGCTGCTTAATCAAGTTGATGAAGAGAACAAAGATAGTTTGAGGAGAAATGCAGAATATGAAGGAACTGTCAGCTATCTGAACAGAGATTTTCCAGGGATTTTATAGCTAGGTAATTTAAAGTATAGAAACTGTTGCCCTAGACTTGTCATCAATGTATGAGCTGTTAAAATTTAAATCCATACATTTAAACAGAGTTTCTAAACCTCTACACTATTTTAAATCAGGCAATTCTATTGTTTTAGAGGAGAGGGGAGTTTCGTGTGCATTGTAGTATATTTAGCAGTATCCTTGTCTCCTCCTCAAGATGTGACACCCAAACTAATGTCTCCAGACATTGCCCTGGGGACAATAACTGATTTAGATGAAAGAAGATATTGCAGAATTCAAGAAGGACGTGGACTTGAGGAACTGAGTAGAATTAGAGTAACATGAAAGAGTTACACTTGAAGATCAGCCTTATGTGTAGGTGTAGGGGCAGGAGACAGAAGACTAATAGGAGAAGCTGCCTCTCCTCATTCCTTCAAGGGCAGCCTTGTACATGCAGCTGTTCTGGATGCAAGACCGATGCCAAAACCCAATGAGCACTGATAAAGGATAAACTTGTCCCTTAACTCTAACTAATGTTTTCTCAGAACGCTGAAATAGCTATCTGAACATGAATGTCTCAATTTAATAAACACATGGGTGTTATTTTATTTTACCTTTTAGTGTCTAGTCAGAAAACTTTAAGTTGAAGTGAGCCACATTAGGTTATAGTTCTCACTCTGCGTTTGATTAAAAGGCACATTAATTCTGAACTAATTGGTTCACAAGAAAGAGTGGTCACAGGCCTTGTGATTAAAAAATTGTGTCTGAGATAACATTTTATGAACTGTAAAGTACTATTCAACTATAAGGTTTTATCTTTTTCCCCCCTAAATTCAAAATGGGCTAGAGCAGATTTTGAGTTTAAAATGTATAGAATTGTTTGCTCTCTTTGTTATGAGCTTTATTTGCTAGTATCTCTACTGCCACCTACTGGATGGTAAAAATGAGATTGGCTAGGCCAGCTCTAGTACAATTTCAGGATCTGCTTTTCTTGAGATAGAATCTGAATCCTCCATATTCAAAGACTAAGAAGGTAGACTAATGTGCAAAAATGTAGAGCATTTAAACAGTCTTGACACCCTGTTTTTATAGGAGCACCCTGCTTTCTAGGGTTTTTCTCTTTTTTTCAGGTGTCCGTAGCAGCTAACTTGGAATTTGTTCATTTAGATTGGGGATTTTCAGAGCAAGGTGACAGGATACCATGGCACTGAGAAGGAAGATATGGTGGCTGAAATTATGTGGTCTAGGAGGGTCACGGAAGTAATAATTATAACCTCTATAAGCTACTCATGCCTCAATAAATGTCATTAAATATTCCATGTGACAGAATGGGACTTGTGCACAAAGCACTTCTACATAACAAAGTGAGATGCTGCATGTCCCTAGTGTGCTTTCTGGGGTTGTTACATGAACAAACTTATTTCCAGCATGAAATAATGACTGTCAGACAAACTGCAATAGTTCACACTATTCAGTTGATATTTGTTGATATTAATAAAGTTCAAGCTTTGAGTTGAAAATCAGAATTTTAGATAACTTTTATCTACCACTTTGAGCTTGAATGCTTTCCAGCACTCAGATTTTCTCCTGATAAAAATGTGATATTAAAAATTGTTCATTTTTATATTCTATAATAAAGATACATCAATATTTGGAATATCTGTATAATTCAGAGAACTACTACATGTAGAGCTTTGGTATGAAATCAGTGAAAATTATTCAGACTTTTCTGAAGTGCTATTAAAATAGTCCTTTTTTTTCGAACTACTTATCTATGTAAAGCCAGATTTCTACTTACTCTTCAACCTAAACAACATATTGCAACAGATTTAATATAGAAATAGCTATGAGATTCTAATTTGCCATTAAAACAGACATTATAGGGATTTGCAAACATGTAAAGTAATGTCATTCTCACAATTTTTGTCTTTCAGAAAGTGTAGCTATCTTCAAAATATACCATTTTAATATAAAATTTATGGTATATTTGATGGTCATTTAAAATGAATTAATAAGTAAATATTTTGATATATTACTCAGTTCAGTGGATATTTCTATTTTGAGGGGGAGCTCTTTTGAATTCGCATTTTTTTTTAATGTTCAAGGGTCAGTCCTGAGACCCAAAATTTTGAGGAGTCCTAAAGAAAATCACCTTGTCTTTCTACAGTTTTTAACCTATAGCATAGTTTTTAATAATATATATATGTTTTAATGTTATAAAAAAGTAACCTTAACTATAACAATTCTTTGAATGTAGCTAGAAATCTAACCTGCTGATCATGGCAATAATCATTTTCCCCTTTTCCTTTCATTCCCTCTTTTTTCATCCTACTCATTTAAGAATGATGATAATCACTTCCCCTCACTTGGTTATACTGCCTTGGTAGAATCACACCTTTGGTTCTCCAAATTCTGTCCACTCTGCACTGCATGCATTTATTACCTGTAGAAAAAAACACCATTACTCACTTTCTCACACCTTGCAGGGACCTAGCAAACATTTTATTTGCCTAGTCTACTTGCTCTTCTTTTTCAGTGAGCTTTTTTGTTAGTTTCTTTTCATTCCTCAAGACTTCAGTAACTTCTTTCTTATTCTCACCTTCACCCCATCTTGCTTTCTACTTCGCTAGGATAATTGTATTGATTACAAAGGAACCTTCACAGATTATATGTTCATCGTAACATCTACCTCCCTATAGAATGCATCACATACAGTTTGCCTTCTAGTTATTACAACTTGATCTGTGCTCCTCTTAAAAGAATAATCCCTCCTCTTGACCCTGTATCCCTTCCTCTTTCCCTGAGAAATGCATCTTAATAACCTACCCTTTCTCTCACACATGGCCAATTTTGAAACATGCTCTAACTCTTCCTGTCAGTTTTCAATAAAGTCCTCCCTTATACCTACTGCCTGCCAGTCTGTCTTAGCTTTTATTTCTAACAAAACACACCCAAAGAGTTTTCTATTCCTCTTCCTATAATTCCTTTACTCCTCTCCTTCAAACTCTCCAATAAGGCATATGCCCCGCCATTTCACTGAAAGGTCTTGAATGACTTTCACGTTATCAAATCCATTTGTCAATTCCCAGTTCTCATATTCCTGACTTATGACCAGCAGTTGACAACTCATCATTCTTTTCCTGATACATTTTATTGACTTGACTTCCAGAAGGCCAAGGACTTTGATTTTCCTGCTGTGCTACTAACCACACCTGCTCAGTAACTTTTGTTAATTCTCATTTCTCAGCTTAAAAAAAAAACACATTTATTTATTTATTTGAAACTTAGAGTTACACAGAGGGAGAGAGAGAGAGAGAAAGGGAGAGAGAGAGAGAGAGGTCTTCTATCCGCTGGTCCACTCCCGAACTGGCTGCAATGGCCGGAGCTGCGCCAAGCCAAAGCCAGGAGCCAGGAGCTTCTTCCACTCTCCCACATGGGTCCAGGGGTCCAAGGAGTTTGGCCATTTTCTACTGCTTTTCCAGGCAACAACAGAGAGCTGGATCAGAAGTGGAGCAACTGGGACTCGAACCAGCCACAACATGGAATGCCAGCACTGCAGGCGGTAGCCCCACCTGCTATGCCATAGCACTGACCCCTCTCAGCTTCTTAATTTGGAGTTTACCACAGAATAAGTTTATGTATATTTTTCCTCTTTTTCTATTTTCATTTTCCTGATGGTCTCATTCAGTTTCATGTATCTAACTTCATTCGTGAATTCCAAACTTGATTATTCTACTTTGTATTTGACATCTGCTCTTATGTCCTTAATGGGCATCCCAGGCAAACTATCTGCAAATTTAAACTCAAAATTTTCCTCAAAACCTGGCCAACCTTCAGTCTTCTTCATTGCAGTCAGCAATCCCGTCCTGTGGCCCAGGCCCAAATCTTTGGGATTAGTTTGAATACCTATTTTTCCTCATACCCTATATGGTCCTCTGAAAAGCACATTGAACCTACCTTGAAAACATTATGCCACCTCAACGACTACCACATAGTTTTAGGCACTATTCTTTCTCACTTGGATTCTTTAATAGACTAACTTAAAACTTAAGTTCAATTATGTAATTCAACTGTTCAGAACTCAATAGTCTTATATCACTCTAAGAGCTGAACTCTAGTTCATACAAAGTGATCTTATCTGGACTGATTTCCTACCACTCTTTCTTCCTTCCCTTTCTTTCAACTTAATGTCCTCTCACAATTCTTGGTGCATGCTAAGTTCTTTGCTCCTTCTGCTTAAAGCTCTCTACCCACAAACATCTGCATGGATGCTTCCTTTAAGTCCTAATCTTTACTCACGTACTACTTTCTTAAGAAGGTCTATGCTAAAGAACCTATTTGAAATTTTATTCCACTAATCCCCGTTTCCCTTGCTTCACTCCATTATACTGTATAGCAGTCAGGGTTTGTTATTTTCTTCAAGGATTTCCAATATCTCCAATACCATTTTTGAAAAGATATTCCTTTACCACTGAATTGCAGTGGTGTTTTTGTCATGACTGAAGTAAGTGTGATCTGTGGACTTGATTTTGGACTCTTGCATCTATTACATTGGTCTATTTGCCTTTCCTTGCAACTACACCATAGTTCCTTATTTATTGTAGCTTAACATTAAGTCAATATGAGGTACAAAATATATCTTTTTTAAAGGATTTATTTAAAAATAGAGAGAGAGAAGGAGAGAGAGAAGGAGATATCTATCTGCTAGTTCACTCTCAAATGGCTGCCATGGCCAGGGCTGGGCCAGGCCAAAGCCAGCAGCCAGGAGCTTCTTCTGGGTCTCCTATGTGGGTGCAGGTGTCCAAGCACTTGAGCCATCTTCCACTGCTTTCCCAGGCACATCAGCAGGACACTAAAGCAAAAGTGGAGCAGCTGGGACTTGAACTTTCTGTGCCACAGCGATGGCCCAAAATGTTTCAAACATTTTCTTTTACAACATTGACCTTGGTAGAATACATTCTTTTAATTTCCATGTGAACTTCAAATTCACTTTTTGTCAGTTACCATTTAAAAAACTGAGGGAATTGACATTTCTCAACAATCCTTGAATATACTATCTGATTTCTTTTGTTTTTGTCTGTGTTGTATTATCTGAGAACTGTTTTTATTTAAAGTTCAAATGTAGCCCGCACCACAGCTCAATGGCTAATCCTCCACCTGAGGCGCCGGCACACTGGGTTCTAGTCCCAGTCAGGATGCCGGATTCTGTCCCGGTTGCCCCTCTTCCAGGCCAGCTCTCTGCTCTGGCCAGGGAGTGCAGTGGAGGATGGCCCAAGTGCTTGGGCCCTGCGCCTGCATGGGAGACCAAGAGAAAAGACCTGGCTCCTGGCTTCGGATCAGCACGGTGCGCCGGCTGCAGCGGCCACTGGGGGGTGAACCAAAGGAAAAGGAAGACCTTTCTCTGTCTCTCTCTCTCACTGTCCACTCTGCCTGTCAAAAAAAAAAAAAAAAAAAAGTCAAATGTAGATGTTCTATAAATCAGATTTACGACTTGTATTTTGTTTTGATCAAATAATTTGTAGATTATTTTGTGTTCCTTAAGAACCCAATTATGCCATATGTAAATAACGAGAGATTCATATATTCATTGTATTAATTTGTTATATATTTTTCTTCTACTTGTGTAATCTGTGTTGAATAAAAGCGCTAACCGTGAAAATATTTCTCTTGTCCTTGGCCTTAGGAGGAAGTGTTCAACATATTGGACATTTCACTATTGACTATATTAGTAGTTTTTTGCAGGTATTCTTTATCAGATTAAGATCTTATCAGATTTTAGTTTGCTGAGTGGTCTTTTCATGAATGCCAAATTATTTTAACTAATTTTATTTATCTATTATAATTATTGTATCATTTTCTCCTTTTGTTTCATTAATGTGGTGAATTTTATTGATCAATTTTTATATGATAGAGAATAGTCTTAGATTGTGAGAATCAGCTCCACGTGCTTGTGAGGTTCACTTTAAACTTGTTGTTTTGCTCCACACAGCTTCAAATCTTTGAGAGGGTAACTAGATGTGTGTTAGAGGTAGGCTTCTCTATCATGACTTGTAACAGGCCTTTGTCTCTTACATGTTATAAGACTCTGCAAGACTTCATTCTGCCTTTTGGAAGCTTCACATTCAGCTGGCCTTCCCCTGACCCTGCCTCCTGGAATACCCAAGAACATAGCAAATATCTCATGACTAAAATGTCCAGACTTTTCTGATTTTGTACTTTCCCGCAAAATACTACTAATATTTGTCTTATTCCAACTACTGGAACTGTAATAATAATTGTCATTTATCATGTTTTTAGAATTTATCTACGAAATATATGAAATCTGTTCTCTTTATATGAATAAAAAACAGTAAAAATCTTTAAGATGCCCAGACATTTGGGAATTCTTTTGCTAATCCATCATCCCAGTGCCATGCAAAGTGCCACATGGCAAAGCTATAGGTTTCTCTTGGTAGAAACCCTCTGCCTTGCTGAGACCAACACTCAGTATTCATCCATTCATCCAAATTTGACAAGTATATGCCTGCAGGAGAGAAAAGAATCAGTGCTTGTCAGTTTCCCTAAGTATTTTTCTCTCTCTGGAACTTTCATTCATCTAGATCTTGTTTCCACACATTTTAAATATCTGTAAAATCATGAATTTTTGTTTTGTTTTATTTTTTTCTTTTGTTTTTGACAGGCAGAGTGGACACACACACACACACACACACAGAGAGAGAGAGAGAGAGAGAGAGAAAGAGAGAAAGGTCTTCCTTTACTGTTGGTTCACTCTCCAATGGCCGCTACGGCCAGCGCGCTGTGGCTGGCGCACCACACTGATCCGAAGCCAGGAGCCAGGTACTTATCCTGGTCTCCCATGTGGGTACAGGACCCAAGCACTTGGGCCATCTTCCACTACACTCCTGGGCCACAGCAGAGAGCTGGACTGGAAGAGGGGCAACCGGGGCAGAATCCGGCGCCCGGACAAGGAATAGAACCCCGGGGTGCTGGCGATGCAGGCGGAGAATTAGCCTATTGAGCCGTGGCACTGGCATGAATTATTTTTTAACTGCTGGAGGATTGACCTAGTGTAGCTCATGTGGAAGAGCCATTTCATTTTTTATTTTCATAGCACATATTACCTTTTAACACTATGCAATTTAATTATTAATTGTGAGTCTTGTCTTCACTTCTCTCCCATTAAAATGTGAGCTCCTCAGAGATAGGGATTGTTTGCCTGCTTTGTTTACTTTTAAATACTGAGCATCAAGGATTTTTCTAACAAATTGTAAGTCCTCAATAAATAAATATTTAATAACTTAATAAATAGGTAACAAATAAATAATGTTTTTTTGACTGGTTACTTAATTATAAATAACCATGTAGTGTTAGAAGCATGCTTATTTTAAAACACATGCAGTTTTAACACCTAGGAAATAACTGATATAATGTCTGGTACACAGTAACTGCTTAATAAATGTAAATCAATGAAGGGTAAAATGGGAACTATTGCGAGAAAATAGCAAGAGAAGAGTATACATCATTAAGGTACAATTCAGGTGTGTTGGAAGTTATGGGATGGAATAAGACAACTCAGTTGGTAGGAGTTTATAGTAGGAATGAAAAGAATAATGCATTTATACAATCTGTCATTTCTAATAAAGAACTGGAATAGAAACTTATTAATATCTGAATCACGTGACACTTTTCTTTTTCTTCCCAGCTGCTTAAAGGGTTATGTCAATAACAGCCTAGCCTTCTTTGACCTGAGTGAGCTCGGCATGGGGAATTCTGGCTATTGCAGGTACTTACTTATAATTAATAGTTGTCTGTCCTGTTTGCTTTCACGATTCCATCCCCTCCCTGCTATTTGCTAATGAATGCATTTAAACTGTTATGTTGAAGTTTTGGCAAATCTAGAAAATTCTGGGTTCCCATGCTTTGGAATTCCATTTTTTTGTTTGTTTGTTTCTGTGCATTTCAGGTATCGTGACTACAGAGGGCCCCCTTGGAGTTCCAAACCCTATGAGTTCACCTTACAATACTGGCACATCCTTGCTGCTCGATTGGCCTTCATTATTGTGTTTGAGGTTAGTCACAAACTAAAAGAAAATTATTGTAGGAAAATGATTTGCAAACTAATATATATAAGTTCGTTTTTAAAATCAATTCCCTGTTGATTCCAAAAATGTTCTTAGGTAGGCCCAAGCATAATTTTCTGATGCAATTGAGCCATTACAACAAGAGAAAACACAGCAAGACCTGAATAATATAAGATGTAGGCTAGTGGGTATTTATACTGGGAAATTAAGGTAAAGGAAATGGCTCCACAAATCAACTAAAAACATTTGAGCATCCTAGTTTTGAGACTCCTGGTAGCCACGTATCAAAGGGAAAGGATAGTTTGTATCATGATACAAAAAAAAAAAATCCATCATGATAGAAGAACTGATTTTCTGAACAAGCAACTTTAATTTCAGTTGATCACATGTGCTTTTGTATATAAAAAGATAATTTTTAAATTATTAAAAATGCATAGATTTGAGCCGGCGCCGTGGCTCAATAGGCTAATCCTCCACCTTGCGGCGCCAGCACACCGGGTTCTAGTCCCGGTCGGGGCGCCGGATTCTGTCCCGGTTGCCCCTCTTCCAGGCCAGCTCTCTGCTATGGCCAGGGAGTGCAGTGGAGGATGGCCCAGGTGCTTGGGCCCTGCACCCCATGGGAGACCAGGAAAAGCACCTGGCTCCTGGCTCCTGCCAGGATCAGCGCGGTGCGCCGGCTGCAGCGGCGGCCATTGGAGGGTTAACCAACGGCAAAGGAAGACCTTTCTCTCTGTCTCTCTCTCTCTCACTGTCCACTCTGCCTGTCAAAAAAAAAAAAAAGCATAGATTTAATTATCATATTCATGCAATAATATTAGATTGTAAACTTGTAAAAAATTTTGGGTGAAGCTGCAATTGTCATTGTCTTCTTTATCATAAAATCAGCTTCATACCATAAAGAACACAGCACTGGAAAGAACTGAATATCTACTCTAAGATAACAGTAAGGCTAATGAAAACATTTTAAATGAACCTGTTTCCTATGGTCAAAATTATGAAGAGAAAGAAATAATCATACCTAATACTTCTGGAACAAGTCTTCAAAGGCAACTTCAACCTTCAGTGGATCTCCAAAAGTACTTCAGATTCTACGGGGAAGTGTCCCTCATGCATAAACTAAGGTGTTGACTTCTAAAAATCTTATCCAGGACTTCAATTCTTTTAGTCATTGATTCCTCATGTCAATAAAAATGCCTCCTGATAAAGTGGGACTTTGTACTTTATTGCAGGTAGTCCCAAGGTTTCAAGCATATTTCAAATCAGTGATTCAGTTAAGTGTGTGTGTGTGTGTGTGTTTAAATATACACTTTTCTTCTACTTTTGGAACAGAGTTAATCACATGCCCCAGTACATAGCAGCCTGTGATTATGAATCCATGTGATTTTCTTTATTTTTTCTTTATTCTCCATTACTAATTCCCTTAAATACTCTAAAAACACGTGCTTTTCTTCAGTGTAGGTTCTTGCACATATATATTTGCATATATTCGTTTATTTAAAAACATATGCATATGTTATTTATAGTATTCTATTTTAAAAATAAGTAGTAGTGGAGCCAGCAGCGCCTTGGCTCACTTAGTTAATCCTCTGCCTGCAGAGCCGACATCCCATATAGGCACCGGGTTCTAGTCCCGGTTGCTCCTCTTCCAGTCCAACTCTCTGCTGTGGCCCAGAAAGACAGTGGAGGATGGCCCAAGTGCTTGGGCCCCTGCACCTGCATGGGAGACCAGGAGGAAGCACCTAGCTCCTTGCTTCGGATCAGCAAATGGCTGTGGCGGCCATTTGGAGTGTGAACCAAAGGAAGGAAGACTTTTGTCTCTGTATCTCTCTCTCACTGTCAAATTAAAAAAAAAAAAGTAGTAGTATGTAATAAAACTAATTTTCTCTCTTACCCATTTTACTTGTCTTTGCTGAAGAGAAAGATCTAGATGTGAGTTCTATCTATGTTTAGATAATTTCTTCTGTCTCCTCTATGATATTTCATTGTATTTAAATACCATTTTCTCCTATGGATGGAATTTAAGGTCTGCAACAATATTCATAACTTCAAATGAATCTCATATTAACACTACAGGATATGTTATATTTTTGACATACAAAGGATTTCTAAGAAGTGTGGGATTGCTAATTTCTGTGCATACTTGGTTTCACATAGCACTGTAAGATTGCTGTCCAAATGGACTGCAACTATCTCAACTGTGTGGATAAGATTTCATTCCCTTAAATTTTTCAACATACTTTCATTTTATCTGACTTGCTAATATTTTACAGTTGGATAAAAGTAAGAATATTTTGCTTTATTTTTTACAAATTAATAGTTTTATTGATATATAATTCAATTACTCTAAAACTACAGTATTGTAAGTGCACTATTCAACGAATCATAGTAAATGATCTACCAAGATTGTTCTTTTTTTTAAATTTTATTTAAGTTATACAAGCTTCATGTATTTCATATACACAGATTTAGGAACATAGTGATACTTTTCCCTGACCCACACCCCATTCACATTCCAACCCTTCTTCCTACTTCCTCTCTCACATCCCCACTCTTAATTTTTACAGAGTTCTATTTTAGGTTCACTTAATATTTGTATAGTTAACCCTACTCTAAGTAAAGGAGTTCAGCAAATATTATGAAGTTAAAAAAAAAACTATTTCTCAATGGAAGAGACAAAGGCTATAACCAATCATCAAATCTCAAAACGTCTATTTCACTCCAATACATTACATTTCAGATACTCTGTTACCTCAGATCAGGGAAAACATGATGTATGTCTTTTTGGGACTGGCTTATTTCACTAAGCATAATGGTTTCTGATTGTGTCCATCTTGTTGCAAAAGACAGGATTTCTTTTTTATATAGCTGCGTAGTATTCCATAGTGTATATATACTATAATTTCTTTATCCAGTTTAACTGATGGATGTCTGGATTGATTCCATATCTTAGCTATTGTGAATTATGCTGCAGTGAACATGGGGGTGCAGATAACTCTTTCAGACAGTGATTCTTTGGTTTGGGTAAATTCCCAGGATTGGGATGACTGGAATATATGGTAGGTCTAAATTCAGATTTTTTAGGAATCTCCATACTGACTTCAATAGTTACTGCACAAATTTACATTCCCACCAACATTAGATTAGGTTCCTTTTTTACCCACATCCTTGCCAGCATTTGTTGTTTGCTTATTTCTTTAGGAGAGCCATTCTAACTGGACTGAGGTGAAACCTCATTGTGGTTTTGAATTGTGTTTCCCTGATGGGTAGTGTTCCTGAGCATTTTCTCAAGTGTCTGTTAGACATTTGAATTTCTTTACTTGAAAAATTCCTGTTCAAGTCCTTTGCCCATTTCTTATCAAATGGTTTGTTTTGTTGTTGTTGAATTTCTTGAGCTCTTTATAAATTCTGGATGTTAACCCTTTATCAGTTCCATGGTTTGTAAATATTCACTACCATTCTGTCGGTAGCCTCTTCACTTTGCTTAATGTTTCTTCTGCAGTGCAGAAGCTTCTCATCTTGATGTAATCCAATTTGTCAATTTTGGTTTTGTTTGCCTGTGCCTCTGGGGATTTTTCCAAGAAGTCTTTGCCTATGCCAATGTCTTGCAGAGTTTCCCCAATGTTCTCTAGTAATTTAATGGTATCAGGTCATAGATTTAGGTCTTTGATCCATTTTGAGTGGATTTTTGTGTAAGGTCAGGGTCTTGCCTCATACTTCTGCATGTGGAGATCCAGTATCCCCACCACCATTTGTTAGAGACTATCCTTGCTCTGGGGATTGATTTTAGCTTCTTTGTCAAATATAAGTTGGTTGTAGAAACTTGCATTGATTTCTCATGTTTCTATTCTATTCCATTGGTCTATCCATCTGTTTTTGTACCATTATCAGACTCTTTTGATTATAAATGCCCTGTAGTATGTCTTGAAGTCTGTATTGTGATGCTGGGTTTCTTTTTGTTGTATAAGATTGCTTTAGCTATTCAGGATCTCCTGTGTTTCCATATGAATTTCAGCATAATTTTTCTAGACTTGTGAAGAATGTAATATTTTTTATTGGGCTTTCACTGAATCTGTAAATTACTTTTGGTAGTATGGACATTTTGATAATGTTGATTCTTCCAATACATGAACATAGATTTTTCCATTTTTCTAATGTATCTTCGATTTCTTTCTTTAGTCTTTTGTGATTTTCAGCATAGAAATCATTGACATCTTTCATTAAATTTATTCCAAAATATTTGATTCTTTTTGGAACTATTGTGAATGGGACTGATATTAAATGTTCTTTCTCTGCCATGGCATTGTCTTGTATATACAAAGGCTATTGATTTGTTTTTTTGTTTGTTTGTTTGTTTGTTTTGATTTTATATCCCGCCAATTTACCAAACTCCAAACTCTTATGAATCCCAACAGTTTCTATTGGAGTCTTTGGATTCCCTTTATATAGAATCATGTCATCTGCAAATAAGGACATTTTGATGTCTTTCTTTCCAATTTGTAGCCTTTCAATTTCTTTTTCTTGCCTAATGGATCTGGCTAAAACTATCAGGACTATATTGAGTAGCAGTGGTGAATGGATATTTGTGTCTGGTTCCAAACCTTAGAGGGGATACTTTCAGCTTTTCCCTTTTCAATTTGATGCTGGACATGGATTTGTGATAATTTGCTTTGATTGTGTTGAGGAATGTTCCTTCTATACCCAATTTTCTTAAGGTTTCATCATGAAAGGATGTTGGACTTCATCAAATGCTTCCTCTGCATTTATTGAGATAACCATATGATTTTTGTTCTTCAGTTTATTGTGATGTATCTCATTGATTTGCAAATGTTGAACCATCCCTGCATAACAGGGATAAATCCCATTTGATCCAAGTGAATGATAGTTCTGATTTGCTGTTGGATTCTATTAGCTAATATTTTATTAAGGATTTTTTATTTGAAAGTCAGAGATACATAGAAAGCGGAGAGGCAGAGAGAGAGAGAGAGAGA